GTTTGTGAATGTTGGCATAACAATTTCAGGTGTTTTATCAAAGAATGTTTGGAGGGGAAATAGGATTGAAATGTATCATTTTAATGCCTAGCTTCTTTATCTCTTGTAGATGAGTCAGTATCGTTGCTGACAATATCTAATTTTATCAAACAATTTAACATGGAATAGAAAAAGATGAAATTGTTCAAAATGAAATAGCCAATATACTTAAACAAAAGGAGCATTTTTAAAATTCTTCTATCAATATCTTGGTATCAGTTCCTTTCCTAAAATAATCTTTCATTGAAAGAACTGAAATACATTTGAAGGCTTTTTGGGTCTGCACTTCCCTCTAAAGAAGTGATCTAGAAGCTTGAAACAGAAAATGAAGAGGAGTTGTGTGAGTAGACAAAGCAAAATAAAGTCTCTCATTCAACTGATTCAATGTAATGTTAATTCACCACCGTGAAAATGTTTTTTTTTTTTTTTTTTTTTTTTTTGTGAATATACACAATTTGATGCTGCTCTATTTCTCTGTCTGCATTGGTCACTTTTAACATTATATGACACTGCAGTTTCAGTTGATATCTGTTTCTGCATTCAACTATTCTTCAGATCTTTTACAAAATCCATTTTTTTTTTTTGTTATAAGTGATGGTACTATACTACAAATAGATCCATTTTATACCATTTGACATGGTTAATACAAGCTGTCATAGGTTTTTTTCTTTTAATGTCATCAATCAATTCCAAATGAGACCTATATACAAAGACTTTTTTTCTTGCTCTTTACCAATTGTTCTTAAATATTCTGAATTGGTTCCAATTGATGCAGTTATGATTTTTCATTACAGTAATAACATTTTCATTATTGATTGATTGATTTTTGGCTGATGTCTTTCCTGTTTCAAAATTGAAATCTTTACATGCAAATCTTTGAAACCAACATCTTTCTAATCATTGTACCAATATTGTCACCTAGAATTTGTACTTTTGGCATTTTCATTTTGAAATCATGAGACAGAAATTATCATTTGAAATGCCTTTTATTTTTCCCTTTTAAAATGTATTAAAAGATTAATGGAATGAACTGAATTTTTTATGAAATGATCAATATTTTAGTTAAAAATAAAATATCAGTTTAAGCAGCGATACCCAACCTTTTTATTTTGCCATGAACCAGTGTCATGCAAGACAATTTTTCCGCAGACCAGGTTGGGGAAGAAATTGGTGTTGGTTATGCGCTTAACAAAATGCAATAAACAAGACCGCGATAGTCAATAAAATGAAAAGCAAAAAAATAAAAATAAAAAATTTTTTTATTCTTTCTTTGCGGCTTGGTACCAAGTGGTGGTTGGGGGATTGCCGAGTTAAAGTGTTATTCTTAAAAGAACAAAAAATGAGGAAAATATCAGGCTTAAAATAAAATCACTAATGTGTACCAAATAAAAGTCCCGACTTGATTAAATTATTTCTCCCCGACCTCCAGTCTGAACACAGTGCTTAGTTAGTATGGCCTACTTATTATTTTTCAAATAATTTTCTATGAGATAATTATTTTTGTTCTAATTTATTTAACTTGAAAAATATCTTCCAGTATAGCTATTCCAAATGGCACTTGTATTTGGAACAACGTGATATAAAAAGAGAGCTTGTCTTTCAGTCTTATTATGTTTTTAATGTTAAAGTCTAGTATTCCTTTTTCATCACACTGAAAATATTCAAGAGAATAATTTAAATTTTCTTTTATTTCAATATACAACCACTTTCAGTCTTAAAACTCAAAAAATACAAAATTAGACAATTTAAAAAAAAAAAAAATTTCAGAAAGTAAAATTTAAAAAAATTCAATTTGAAATGAAAGCTTAATTTTTCCCTTATTTTTATGAGTGTTAGCCAATTTTCTGAAAGAATGAAAGTGTTTTCCACTGTAAATATATTAATATTTAAATTATAAGTAGGAATAATGTACAGGCTTTTTCTGCTATTCAAAAGTAAAATTTTACACTGAAACCTTACATAAGCTGAAATGTGTTTTTTTTTTTTTTTTTGTTGTTGTTGCCTGATCATTAACTTGTGTAATAAATTTGTTTTCTTAGAACCCCAAATGAACCAGTTCTGCCTACAATGAATGGCTGCAATTTTTTAAAGGGCACATAGATTTAGGGCAGTTTCCAGACTGTTTTGAGTGCCTACTATGAATTGTATGCTGGAAGAATACATGATGTTAATCAGTCAAACATGCTATTGTATTTCAAGCCTTTCACAGCAGATGATGAATCTCAAATCAGGGCAAGCAGACAGTTATTTTGGGATGGTAGTGGGGGCAGTTGGGAACTGAAAAAAAATTTTCTTACATAAATGAATCATAATTATAAATTTTACTGCATTTTTTTTTTTTTTTTTAAATCAAAGTAGCAGAGAGCAAACTTTTGAAAAGCAGGGAATGCCTGTATTATGTAATTCATTTAATGTATTCAAATTGTTTTATTTAGCTTATTTTTACTTTATTTTTTCTTATTTTTTTTTTTTTTTTACATATGTGAAGCCTATGTGCATCACAAGGCAAGCAAAAGGTTAAATCAACTTCTGTATTTACTTTTATTTTGTGTTTTTTTTTCTTTTTCTTTTTTTTTTAACTTTATTCAATAATTTAAATGTTTATAGATATGGTTTGTTTTTTGTAAGTAGGGACAAACCAATTTTTTTATCTATTTGCACAATTGATATAATGTATAAATTTATTGATTATCATTAAAATAATTTACGATAACTTTGAGTTTTCTCTCTTTTAATTGTTTTTAATTATAAATGTTCAGGAATAAGCAAAGAATTGAATAATTTCTTCAAATATGGAAATAAAAATTGTTGCAATATGTAATTGGATTTAAATAATTTGCATAATAAATTTGTTAATTATGTTAAACATACTTTTGAATATATAAACTTTGTTGCACATATTTCTAGAACTTTCTTCTTTCTATGTTCATTTTCTCTAGTTAGAATTAAATTTACTACTTGACCATTTAATGTTGTATTTATGAAATTGGATCTAAAATTATTTCTTTTAAAATAACCATTGCAATCTGGTAAAGTATTTTTAAGTAGACCTGGGCAAAGCTGGTAATAGGCCAGATGGGAAATACAGGCTCCCATTTCAAACAGGGTTATTAAGTATTTTGGTAATTTTCTTGAAAATATTTTATGCTAAAGAATTCTTCTTAACTCTCTTTAAAATGACAATATCTTTTTAAATAAGGGTCCTCTTTTGTCTCTACAGGGTATGCCCTCTCAAAATTGCAGACTTATGCTAATTTTCCCACCTTTCCCTTATCTGTTGAAGCATGCTTTTTGGGGAAGAGGTATCAGGAGGTGCTGAAAAGATTTCCATCTGACCCACTGACTAAAATCTAACCAAATGGTTACATGTTAGATTTTTATAAAAGTGCTTCTTGGTTAGGCTGAGAACTTTTCAGAACCCTCTCATGTTTCTATGCTTCTCTTCCAATATCTCCAAAACTTAACCAATCTAAAATTATGCTTTTGGTTAATCAAGCAGCTCACAACAGTTGTAAAAACTTTTCATCAAATATTTAAGAGCACAAATCAGCTAAAATTCTAGAAGAATACACTCGTAATTAGAAAAAATGTGTCTCGCATCTAAATTTTCTAATAAATAGTAAATTTTTTACAAAATGATTTTTTTTATTTAACTACTAGTTTACTAATACCTTTAATGGATAAATAATTCTATTTAAGTGACAGTTAAGTGATTATAGTCAGTAATGCTTGCTGAATTAAACTGAATATGTCTTAATAAGTTAGATGAAAAGAATTAATCTCTCCTCCTCCAATATAAACATTACAGTAGAAAAATGTTAAATATGGCATTTCTTTAAATTATTTAAGAGTTTGTAGCGAAAGATAAAGAATACTTGTAATTATCCTACATTTCCATGTATAATACAACCTTTAAATCTCAAAATCACCCTTTAAAAATTGGGTGACATCTTGTACTACAATTCCAAAAAAGAAACCTTAAATTCTGAATGACGTTTGTCAATAGGCCAACCTCAGCCTTGGTGCGACAACCAATAATGTGCATGAAAAGATTCACATTATCAAATAAACTGATAATAAAAGTAATAAAATCATATATTACTGGCATAACATCATAATAAACTGCCTATTCGAAGAATAATTCCATATTAATGAAATTGACTTCTTAAGCTTAGCTGAGAAAATATAAACATCTAGTTATGATTGTGTTCACAGCAACCTTTATCTTTCACTAAGCTTTCAATAATCATCATGGTAGTGTTAATTATGGCAGTAATAACATTTAGGATAACATAATTTTCATTTCTCATTAAAAATTCATTATCATTTTGGTGTTAAATAATAACATCATTTAGGATTACATGCAACCTTTTATTTTTCAAATATAAATCCTTTTATGGTAGTTGCATTTAAATCTTTTAGGAAAAGACAAGAGTGTAGAAGAAGAATCCATATGGGCAAGAGATCACGTGAAAAAAGTAAACAAGACTGGTTTCCTTTTTAGGGGCTTGTTATTTCGTTTATTTTGAATTTCTAAGCATACAGTAAGTAACAACATTTCCAGTAACATCATCTTTATATAGTCAATAAGCAGTTATCTTATACTACAGGTATAGGAAAAATTCATGAAAAGTTGCTATATTTTTTTGACCTCATCCTATTTAAAGGTTGCTTTATACACAGAAATATATGGTACTAATGGTCTTCAATTTTAGAGAGAACTGTTTTTAATCAAATCAGATACAATTTTTATCTTTAATTTCCTCAAATGAACAGTTTTTATTTTTCATGCTATCACCTCACCTAAAATTTCTGTATTTTGTACTTTTAACAGTCTTTATAAATGTTTGACAGTGAAATAATTTAAGGCGAGAAAATCAGAGCATTCAGTTCTCTAAGTGAGCTAACAACATACCTGTGACTGTCTAGTGGGAGATTTTTCTTATTCTTTATATTTGAAGGGACCTCGGGCCCCATACCCTGGACCCCAAATGGGCACTGGTGGTCCACCACCGCCCCCGATGGGCATGAGGCCTGGTGGACCTGGTGTACCACCACATGGTTATCCAGGTAAGTTCGTTATTTGATTTTTTTTTTTTTTTTTTTTCTTTATTTCAAAAATGTTTTCTTTCCTTGCTCCCCTTCCGTATTTACTTCTCTCTTTTTGTCCATAAGTGGTTCTTAATCTAAGCAGTATAATGGACTTGAGAAATTGATCAAAATTAAAAACTCAGTAAGATCTGAGTTTTAATCTGAGAAAGCTTCTGGAATATTTTTTTTCTTTTTTAGATATACACATTTAGTGTGTGTGTGTAATATTTTCTTTATCAAAATTCCAAATTGTCCATGGATTGCAGGTTAAGAACCTCTGCCCTTAATCTAGGTTTGACCATCCCTACTAATGCTGCTACTTTTGTTTGTCGTCCTATCACCACTTGTGTCGGTGATAAGAAGCTATCTAGTTTCTAGCATAGCTTGCTGTAGCTGGCTATTTTGCATGGAATCTTAAAGCATTCAACTGGACTTGAACTTTATTTCAAAATTTCAACATTTCTTTCTTTCTCTCTCTCCTCTCTTTCTCTCTCTCCTCTCTCTCTCTCTTTTTCTCTCTCTCTTTTTCTCTCTCTCTTTCTCCTTGTGTGGCTGCATTTGTATGCGAATGGAAGTGTATGCTTGTGCCAATCATGCCATTTTTTTAAATTGTAGTAAATCAGTGTCTTCTATGGCAGGTAAAGTTAATTTAAAAACGTTTATTCTGAGGATCTAGTTTTCTTTCTTTTTCTTTTTTTTTTTTTTTTATACAATAAAAATCAAATACCATATTGTTTCTAAACATTAGTACATAACACTATCTCATCTCCTCCATTTCTGCCAGTAATCTTATATTTTGACGTGTTTCTCACATAATTTTGTTTTTTAGACTTTTCATAAATGAGGAACACTTCTCTTGCAGCCCATTTGGTATTTGTACTTATACAAAATATTTATTTTTATAAATTTTTTCATAATTAAATCTTAAAATTTTTATATCAGGACGTAGATAAGAAGGATTGAATGAACCATAATTTCTTGAGTTTTATTTTTCTTCTCTCTGCTTTTGTAATATAACATTTATCTAACTTTGAAATTAGACATTAGTAATTGCTAGTATAATGTTAAAAAAGTATCATTTCTTTGAAAAATTATGTACGGAAAATAGGTTAAATTTTATTTATTTTAACACTCCCTAACTTGTAAACTTCTCTCAAAATTGCTATTACAACTTAACAAAACTTATGATTTTGTAATGTAAGAACAAGACTTTAAATTTGGAAAGTAGTAATTATTGACATTAATAGGGAGGGTTTCATTACTACCCTCCCCCCTCACTGTAATTTTTTTTATAATTCTTTTTTAGAAAATGGTTTGCACTGTATTCTTTTTCTTTTCTTTTTTTTTCTCTGACTGAAAAGATTTTTTATATACAAAAATAGTTTGAATAGGAAATAAATCTTAACATTTTTGTATGTGGCTGAATCAATAAGTCCATAACCTTTAAAAAGTTATTAGCTGAATTTTTATGTGAAATTTTCTCTGTAGAATAATTGGTCCATGTGATCCTATTTACCTCTGAATTAAGAGCATTGACAAGGAAAGAGATTATGTTGAAAGATATATATTTGTATAAAAGAAATTCTCATTAAGGTATAGATTTATTGATTTTCCTATATAGGATTTTTTTCCAAAAAATAGGAATGTTTTTTTCTCTTTTTAATTATAATTGTTTTTTTTTTTTTGTTTTTTTTAAGTCTCAGGAACCTTGGGGATGATCAAGTTATACTGAAAGCACTAGTTCTCATCTGATCATCTGAGGTTAAGAATTATTGAACCTCCTCAATGTCTAGTTAGGCATGACAAATGTCTATGGAATATACTCTGTTGAAATACATTTATATTTGTGCTTCCAGCAAAATTCTTATGAGATAATGTCCCCAGGAGTTAACATCTTATTATGACTAAGTCAAGTCACTCTGGTAGTCTAATGATACCATCAGAATTTTGTTAATTGGATGTTATCATTTCTGCGATTTAGAAGATGGATACTGCTTTTGCCTGATTTGAATGTTTTCCTTATTTCAACATTAATCAAATATTTTAAGATTGAAGGAGCTACAAAACCATGAACATAAACTTTGATGGAAAACAAGTTTATATCAATAACCATTTTTTTATTTACAGTGTTTGGACTGTTGTCTTTGTTACATTCACAATGTTTTGGCTGTTGTACATTGAGAATGTGACAATAATGATGAGGGCAACAATATAAATAGTATAAAAAAGCTACAATACCTCATCTCAGAAATATAGACATTTTTTTATTTATTTTGCATTTAAAGTGTAAGGCTTTGTATTTCTCTATTGAATGATCTTTAAAAAAATAAAACAATTGAAACAAAGAAATATTAAAATGGTTTTAATTCAATGACGAAAATTTTAGGAAGTAGTATGTATAAACAATTTAAAAAGGAAAGTGGGAGATGAATAGGCCAATATTATTGTTGTTTAATTGTGTTAGGTTGTAAACTTGTTTTTGATAACACTTAGAGTATACTGCAAAATCACATCATAGAATTGATTGAATCATATAATTGAATCTATTGGTTAACTTTTTGCAGAACTGGAAGCTGTAATAATTTCCTTCAGAAGATCTGAAACGTTTTCTTTAATCTCTTTTAGCTCTCCTTTAGCCTGTATAGATTTAAGGCCTTTTCCATACAGTCTTAAAAGGACAGCCCAGTTATTTTCTTGCATAAGGATTAATATATGTTCAGTATTTGTTTATGTAGCACAATTATATAAATATTTTTATATTTTATACTTAATACTAATTTATTCATGACTACCATATTTGATGTAGGCATACCTTCTCACCCCCCCATATATTAAAAAAAAAATGTTTCACGGGTCTTTTATGCAAGATTAACTTATTTGGTTGACTGATGTTTAACCAGACGTCATAGTCATATTATCTGGTAATATATTAAGAGGAAAAAATATTCCTTGTAGACAGTGAAACTTTTTGAACAAATGTGAATAAAAAAAATATGTTTTCATTGAAAGTAGAAGCATACTTGAAATCAACAAATCACTAAAAAAAAAAATAGGTAAATATTTAATTAAAAAAAGAAAATCTTTTCTCAAAATTCTGAAATTAATATTAGAATTTCTGTGAAATTAGAAAAAACAATTTAAGCAGTGACTTAAATTTTGTTGGGGACCAGAAGAAGAAAAACAATGTTAGCAGTAAATTTTGAATTTATTCATAGATGGATCAATAAGTCTATAGCCTGACACAGTTCAATAAAGTTTCATTGGAAATTTTTACTGTATAATGTTCAATATGTGATCTATAGCAAAGCATTTAAAAGGAGAGATAATGTTGAAAAATTTATTTGAAATAAATGCTTTTTTTCATGATTAGGCTATGGACTTATTCATATTCCTATGCAAATATGCTGACAGGAAATAGAATTGCAAATCCATAAATGTGTCTTTCAATTTGCTCAAAATTAAACCTACAGTTAATATAGCTGGATTACAATAAATGATCACTCATAAAAATCAGTACATCCACAGGTTCCAAAATAAAAGATGGATGAACAGTATTCAGACCCCATGTTAATATGCTGTATATGATCACCAGATGTCAATTATCATCTTGTGATAATTTATTATGTGCATCTTGTACCTGTTGAGACAACATAGTAGTAAATGTAGGCTTACTAAATAAGTTAGTCATCATTAATTATGCTGACTAGGGAAGTTGTTGAATATCATGCAGACCTCATATTTATGGCCACAATAAGTATTGACAAATGTAATGTATATACATGGCACTGTTCAATATTCCCTTTACAAATACCAAAAGTGAGAAAAAATTTTTAACCTTTAACACGCTATTATTAATATTACTTCTGCATCCTTTTTCAAGGTTTCTCAATTGCAGTATCCTTATTGGTAATGTCACTCTGTTGTTTTCTGTTGCCATAGCAGGATATGACAACACAACTGTGAAATTCAAATCTACTATTATTCAGGGGTCAGTCACCTGGAAAACTTTTTGTACAGTAAATGAAGTGACATGCAGCATGATAAAGGTTAACATGGCATCTCACACTTTTGTAGCTGTGTATTGTTTGCAGATACTCTGGAAGATGATGCTCTTTAGCTGTTCATCACATACACAAATGATCATCCCTTGTATAATATAGAACTTGCGTTCATGAAGGAATACTGTAGAGAGCCATTTTATCCTTTAGGTGACCCTCTCATGAATACCAAATGAGATGTACATGACTCTGTTATGGCATGAATGAAAGTTTAGACCCATACCCATAGGCCTGCAGGCACTCCTGGGTCTGCATTTGCTCTGATCTGTACTGTGCAATCTGCCACTATTGCCCTTATAATGCAAGCATCATTTAACAACTATTGGCAATATTGACACACCCCACTGACTCATCATAGTTCCTTGAAATGATCATCAAAATCTACTCGACCCACATGTCAAATTCCTTTCTAATTAAACAAAAGAAGCACATTTGTGCATCTCTGTGAGATGACACCTGATTATACTGATCTCTTTCAACACTGAACTTTATTGAGGCTTATGTTACCTTTGAAAGAAGATGGTTTACTGGTATGAAGGATATATTACAAGATGGCTGAAGACTTGAAAATTTTATCTGAAAATCTACTACTCATTAGCATGCACTTAGTGTATCCAGGTCAAAAACTATTCTTCCCTTGAGAATGTTGCAATTTTATTTTCTGCCAGGGAATATATATATATATATATATGTATATATATATATATTGTTGTGTGTGTGTCAGGGCTAAAATTCTCAAACTGACCAAAAAGTCTGTCACTAAAAAAAAAAATTCTGATTGGTCACACTTTTGGAAGTGTGTTTGGCCAAAAACAGTTCTCCTGCATGCATGCACACAATTTCCTATATATATATATATATATATATATAAATAAAAGTTTAAATTTAAATACAGTGCAATAAGTTTTCTAATATACAACG